TACACACTGGACCTTTAAATAGCTACAGAAACAAAAAATAGCCAATACAACTCTCAAGCATGTAATAAATACAACCACATTTTGATTTAATAAACACTGACATTCTGCATATGATATGAGCTAATGACAACTTGCAATATTCTGAATGTGAATATTGTCTCAGGCAGGTTTTGAATGTTGCAACTGTCCCTTCACACATAAAGCTTCTGGAGAATTTAGGTCACAAGTTTCTGATGATGTGTAAAAATGTGTTTTGCATGGAAATACCTAACTGAGATAACGTGTCATTTCCTCTTGTTTCTTCTTGTCAGTCTTTATTTTAAATAACTGTTTAGCTTGATTTGATTAGGGAGGTTAAACACTATTTTATCAAACATTTTATCAACATTTCAAGCACCTACAGAGGTCAATAAAGCTCTATGATGTGGCCTTGTCCTCATTTTCCTGATGGTTAGCAGAACAGCTAAAAATATCACAGACAATAGTAGACATCCAGGCGTTTCAGAATAAGCAGAATATCACTGATATAAGGCAGTGAAAAACAACCATTAGTGTCGTCACAGTTACTTGTTGTAAGTAAACAAGCAGAGAGTGTTTGAATTAGTTTACAGTTCATGCCAATACCCTCTTCTACACCAAAATTAGAGCGTATATGCAGATTTTTTAAACCCAGCTAAACATAGGGGATTGACTCCTTCCCCAGGGCCAGTAGATGAGTTTGCCTTTCTGATTTTTTTCTGACGTTTCATGTTCAAAAATAGGGTTAGCAAACAGCAGAAAGCAGCTTTTGTTACTTGCTGCGGGCTGCGAGCAATGCCCGTTTCACACGATATGTCTATGCATATCTGCAGAGCTCCACCCACACTCCTTTTTTCCTCTTCCCCTTGATTCAGGAGAAGCTCTCTAACCCCTCTGTCTTGCCATGTGTTGCATCTTTCATGATACTAAGAAAATGGCTGTTGCACATTGTCCCCATACAAATAATAATGTTTAACTTCAACATGTGTCATAGCTTTGCGGCGGGAAAAAGGGGCAAAAATTAGCGTGTCCATCCGGGTGTCTTATCACTGCCGATCAATACCTGTGACTACTGCAGAATCATTTGACTCGGAAATTAACGCCAATCGTACCCTTTCCCACTGAAGACAAATCCAGCATGTTAGCGGGTTTTTTTGTGTAAAAGAGGCTCAAGAGTGATTCGTCTTGGCCATCGCTAGTTTGTCAAATTATTCCAATAATCATTTTGACATGTCAGAGATTATTACTTCGCGTTTGCTCACCAGATGAATCATGAATGCTCTTTTTGGGAGACGAGGGCAGCAGGAGTTGGCTGAGAAACAGTCCCTCATGCAGCTCTGCTATAAGTGTTCTCACATTCAGGGACAGACAACCTGGCTTCATCTCTGGTAGGCTCATATCTCCAGACAGCAGCAGGCTCAGGGCCACTTCAGCCAAACATATATCCTACAATGGAGAGCATGTTAGTCACACACAATCAATCATTAGTTTCTATTTCTGAACTAGAAATAAAATAACGTACCAATTGACTGCTTTTAAGCACTTTACTGCTTAGCTGCCCGACTGAGAAGTCCCACGCCAGCCTGTAACGAAAGATAGAAAATAATATTGTATGATCCCTGGTCAGGATATTCTTTCAGTTAAATCAAATCAATGGCAGACAGAACTAACAGAGTGCGAACTGCGTCGTTACCTTTTACTCTGGTGGTCAAGTAACAAGGTGATGCCTGTTATGGTCATGTGCCATAGAGACTCTGACAGCGCTATGTTCAGTACCATCACGTTGATCGAGCTGATGTGGAAAGACAGCAGCTGAAAACACAAGACAGGATGTGAGAGATTGTACTACAAAATCGGTTTAGCAAAAGACTGAACTACAGCGAGGCTCCATACTTGCGACAGAAATCGTAGCTTGGTTGGGCTGAGTGAAATCTTCCCAGACTTCGTTCCATGGCTCTTCTTCACCAAAGGTTTGAGTGGTGCTTGCAAGTCAAACCTAACTCTGGTTTCTCCGACACACAATGCCAGGTATCTCCTGATGGGGTAAACGTGCGGTAAATGTTTTAAATAACAACAAAGACTGTTGTGTTTTCATATATGAGGGTTGACTGACAAAGAAATGTGACAACTTACGGCAAATCCTGGTTAAGAAGTTTACTTGAGATCCATATTCTGTCAATTTCCTGTCATAAAGAGAGTAAGTCCTTTATAGGAATGCACGATATGGATTTATTTCACTCTATACTGACAACCAATAAATTACCTACTTCTCATAAGATAACCAATCATTTCAAGTTCATAACTTGTAGTTAAAAAAGGCTAAGATGTAGTGAGCGAAGATGGATGATTTTATATTCCCTAGCTCTGATTTAACCAAAATTTAACGGACATCATTGTTGTTTAAACAACAAAAAACAGTTGCGATCGTTCGTCAAAATGAATCACAAACATGCTTCGGCAATCATAGAACATAAAGCCTATCGAATGCTTTGCATACAAGTTATTATGGACCAATAAATCAATAATTCTGCCCTAATTGATATATTTTGCTCCTGTGCACAAACACCATTAAATATGTTGTACCCATTACTGAGACAAACATCTACCCCCTGAAATGGGAGCAGCCACACTGAATGAGCTCACTGAATAAATGTCATGTAAACAGTGTGTCTTACCAGAGTATGCTGGGGGTGAAACTGGATACTGACTCCTTGGACAGAGAACAGCCCGACTGATTTGATCTTCAGATCAGCATTAAGTGCAGTCTGGAAGAACCGCACAGCCAGTGTGCATATGAGCCACCTAGAAGCAAAAGAAGAGGAGCAGAAACGTTTGATACAGTTACATAATTGTCCCCAAAAATAAGCAAAAAAAAAAAAAACAGCTGGGTTAAATCTTGTAAGCAGTGTTAATGTCATCTAGTATCACAGACATACTGCAGAAACACATTTCTTACCTGAAAATGGCACATAACAACACAATCCCGAGCAGGAGGAGTAGAAGGAAGGATATCAGCAAGAGAGACATTGTGTCCCAAGTTGTTCACACCCAAATGTTGGACATGGGTCTGTCTGCTGCTCTCTGTCTGCTACCAGCTGCTGTCAAAGAGGAAGAGGCGCCCTTCAGCTTGACAACACTTTACATCCAGGCTCCTCTAGAAAAAACAAAACAATCAATAACTTGTCCACCACTGTGTGCTAACGGTGAACAGCTAGCCTCACAATGCCAGCACAGCTAATTAAAACTACAGTGCGGTCACAAACCCAGCACGAAACAGCGCGGAGCTACACTTCATCACTGAGCAGTGTTAGCTCCACTTGTTCACTCTCCACCGGCGACTAAAAAACAAAAAAACAAACAGTGACTCGTTTGGCGACAAAACAAGAAGGGGGGGACTTAGCAGCGTTAGCTCAACACGAACCAAACGTGAAATAGTTAAAAAAAAAAAAGAAAAAAATAGAAAAGATATTTCCCGCCGCGTCATCGGAAAAAAATAAATAAAAAAATCAGTAGCAAATCTGTGCTAGCATGCTAACGCCACGGCTAATTTAGCATATAGCTCTGCGAGACTGCTACACAACTCAGCACTGTTGTTTCTGAGGCTGCAGAGGCTGCCTGTGGCCTCCAGCTCAGGCTATCCACCACTACTTACCCCGGCATAGTTACAGTGTTTTTTGGGGTCGGGGTGAGTTTCGTTTCACAGCATAATGCTGCAGTTTTAATCTGACAGTGAACTCAGACACAGTAAATACACTACAGGCTCTGGTCCGCCCTCCTCCTCCTCCTCCTCCTCCTCCTCCTCAGCTGGTTGTTCATTTGACTGGCAGCCGACAAGGACTGTGACCAGTGGGAGCACCGCCAACACAGCAAATATTAACTTATATCGATATTAAATATGCATTTCAAACAAAGGGTTTATTCAGCAGTTCACACTCCATATACACACACACACACCTGCAAAACGCACACAAACTGTACAAAAGGTGACAAGTTAAAGATATTTATTTCAACCAGATGAGTTACATTATATCATTTTTTAAAAGGATAAGATTCAGAGTAACTCAATCACATGAATAAAGTACTGCTACTGCATGATACTTTAATGCATTTATCTGTAAACAGCTGCAGATCAAGTGACTGTCCAAGTATTCCTCCCAAAGAAAACTCCCATGTACACATTATGTAATTGGGTTTGGGTGGTTTGATTAGCAGAAAATGTGTGGAATTACGTATCAACAATAAAGCAGGTCCTGCATTATTACATAATGTTGTGGCCCTGTGTCAAAATCTACAACTAAGACCTTTATTATTCTGGTATATGTTGTCTTTGCTTGGTAGATTTTTCTAAAATAAAGTTCTTTTAAAATAAAATTTCACACACTAACTTCAATCTTGCCAGCAGGGGCCAAACAGCAAAAGTTTGGGCTCATAATTTTTACAAATAAGTTGCGTTAAATTGATTTATTTCCCAGCTCTCTGCCCTATTGATAGGAACAATGTTTATTGGAAAAAAGTCCATCAAACAGAACAAATGGTCCTTTTACAAAGTGCTGTGAATGCAACTGTGCCTCGTGGCATGCTTCCAGGGGGAAATACATCTCATACTGCCAGCCTAAGGATAACTAAGTTGTCATTACAAGGAGATTTACACTGCAAGTGCCTTGTACAGCGACTCTTCATCATATGAACTGGTGAAAAACTGATGGTGCACAATTTTTCCAGGCAGACCCGTTCGCCTTACGCAGCAGCTTTCTGTTTGTTGTGTTTGGCAAACCACTCGTCACTTTTATCTTCGGCCATGGCCTAAAAACATAAAAGCATAATGAGCACAGGCCCAGCGAATATCCAACACATGTTGCATATTTGATGTAGAGGGGAAAATACTGGAGCAACGCCAACCTTATCGAGCAAGTCATTTCCTTTGGGGTCCACCATGGACAGTTGCCTGAAAGCCTCATCTCCCACAAAGCAGATCTCATGACCATCCTTAAACAAACATTGAGCAGTTAACATTTCTTTAACGGAGACTAATTTCACTTGATTGCAGCATTATACCGGTAATGCACTTACAGGGTCGGCCAAAATAACCACTTCTACTGTGGCTTTTCCAGGAGTGTCCAGACTGACTAATGGAGTGAGAATTTTCTGATTTTCCTTTTTCATCAAGGCTTCGAGGTCAGGCAGCTGTGGAATGTGAGGAAATATTGACCATGTACATGATGATAATGATTTTTTTTTATGAAACACAAGAAAGTATCCATGATATAATATTCACTTGCTCCCGCGGGCATGAAAATGCTATTCTCCCAAACGCTGTTCCACGATCGACTGTCCCACCAATGTCACGAAGCTCCAGTTTACACTGCATAAAAGATAAAATATATAATTAAAAGACTAAAATGCATTCCTGATATGTTACCACAGACAACAAAATACAACACTTTTCTTTCTCACCTGAGTGTCTGCAAATCCCATCAGCACTGTTTTCTTCTCCTCATTCTTTTCCATCACCTTCATTCCCAAGAGTGTAGTCCAGTAGTGGGTCGACCTCTGGAGGTCGGATACTCCGAGACAAACCTTCTGCACAGGGTCTGGGAACAAACGGTCAAATGCTTTTTCTTTTAATGCACTTGTTTATGTGCCTTCTGCTCAGTACTGAATGACGGATATAATCATATGCAAATGTTTAATGTTTATAATGTGGAGGCTTTAAAACAAAGTCATGGTTATTTGACAGTATTTTTTTTGTCCAGTATGATTAAAACTCTGTATAGCTTATTTTTAAAGTAGATATTACAATTTAAAGATTAATCAGTGAATCATTTATTCAATAAAATACAAAATATATTGACTTATATTTACAGACGCTGACCAATAGAATAAAATTAAGTGACATGTGCTGTAAATAAATATATGATGCTATGAAACCGAGCAACTCTTTGCATTTTTGAAAGCAACCAATGCATTTAACTAATGCATTTCCACAATTGGACTCTCTTGAAAACAAAAGACAGACATAAGACCCCGGACACTGACCACTGGGAGGCTGCTCTTTGTCCACAAGGTAGAAAGGATACCCTCCTGGAGCCTGGGTCAGATACAGACCCTCTGCTACCTCAGTAAGAGGCCATCCCAGACGCCGAGCATTGCTCACAGCTTGGCTGGACTGCAGAGTGAGCCCCTAAAGTAAAAACATTTGTGTCAGTATCTCTTTGCAAGGCTGCCGTCCCCCTATATAATACAACATGTTGTCATCCTCTGTAAAGTTTCCAAATTAACTCTCACCCACCAAGAAGTCATTGCCAAGTTGATACTCTCCCACCCCATAATTGTATGTCAGCTCAGCTACAAAATGATCATCTTCTGGACCAAAGCCAACCATCGTCTTGCTCCATTTTCCATCATAGGGACTGTATGGATGCAGGGTGTGGGGCAGCGGTCAGTATTAGCATATTAACAGCAGCTCTGTGAGTACAAAGTTCAATTATATATCATATCTACCCATTACACGTTGCTTTGCAGCCTTCCTCAAACTCCTCATGACGTAAAATCTAAAGTGGATGAGAAGAGATGAGAAAATAAGCACTAGCACGAGAAGAAGTGTATTAAAACACTCACACGAAAGAAGAGGAATTAACTAACTTCGTTGTGTTGTGCAACACATATGAGATTATCAGCAAAAATTGTGCAACACAGAAGAGATTACTATTAGTTCAGTCTAATCTGGCCATTAAATGAAGCTCACAAACACTACCTTCATGCCAAGAACATCTCGGTAAAACGTGGCTGTTTTTGGCCTGTCACCAACTTTGAAAACAAAATGCAGAGCTCGTCTTAAAGCCATATTTCTTGACAGATATGATGATGCTTGAATTGCAGATCGGCGTTCAGGGAACGATTAAGCTTCCTTGGTGATGAAGTTCTCTGTTATCGAGTGGGGGGTGGGGGGGGGGTAAATACCAATACAGAAACAGCCGGCATTTACAACTGCAAACACAACTTCCAGATATTATTTCACCCTTTGTTAATACATTACTACTATTATATCATTAAGGACAAGCGAAGCGACTTCACGTTGAATAAAAACGACTAAAACTACATTCGCCACCCCTAGTCATTCAGTTTAATGGTATCGCCCAGTTTGTCGCATTATCTCGCGAGATTACAGTTGAGCAGCAACTTTGACGCAAAATAAAAAAAAGTATAAATGTAAAAATTAAATATTTAACTAACTAATTACACCCCAATGCGGCGAATTATTAACTTTACCCGATAAAATAGATAAAAAAAAAAAAATGTGTATAAATGTAGTGTCACCTTCACTACAGCTGGTGGCGGTAACTAAGTGAGGTGGGCTTGTTTTAGTGACCTTTACGGCAAAACGAGAGAAGAAGGCGGGGGCAGAAAGGGGCAAACATGGCAGCGTACACGAGAAGCGTGTTATGTGTTGTTTCTACGGAGCGACATGCTTTTCTAACAAGGGGAAGCGGTATTGTTGTGGAAGCCAGGCGGTATGTACGCGGACTGAGGAGGAAACCTGTCAAAGTGTTGTTTCCCGACAACCAGGCGGATAAAACCATCAAGCCGAGGCCACAGTCTCAAAAGGAGGCAAACAACAACAACCCGGCTGCAGCAAGACGTCTGGAGGAAAGAGACTTTGTCAAGGCGACGAGTAATGTGCAGTCAGCTGGTAAACACGTTTCTGCTGCAAAGGATCAGGTTGATGGGCTGCGCTTCGAGAGGGCTTTCCCTGGAGATAAAAGACTGGCGTAAGTGTCAATGCGTGAAGGTGACAGTCAGAAGAAAACAGCCCTGATTAGTTGATCAGGAGACATTTATTAGTCTTAGATCAGGTGGGAAAGAGGATACAAGAGGAACAGTCGAGCCACCTTAAGTTGTTTTCTTTTTATACCGCTTTTTATTTCTACTACACTACATCTCAGAGGCAAATGTTGGGCTTCAGTGCATTTTTGTTGGCAGCTGTTGTTATAGTTAATCACATATGATGTGTATATTTTAGGGTTATACCCTGCAGTGTGTGTTGAATTGCAGTAGCTCCACCTCGACCAGCTTCAGTATTAAAATGATGCTTATTGCCTCAGTAATAATAATGCAGTAATATAATATATAGGGAACTCTGAGATGAGCCTTTCTGCCTGGCTGAGTATTGAACCTGAATATAACATTTTTTGGTATACTGACCAATATTAAACTCATCAGATAGTGCTCAAATTGAAAAGGAATTGTCCCCATTTATTCAGGAAAAGTTCTTCTAAGTTCATTTGTGTCTAGACAACATTTAACACCTGAGAAGTTTAGTGTCTTTTCAATGAAAAGGGGGTAAAATATGTTAAATAGGTCATATTATGCTCATATTTGGAGTGTGTACTATAATAGGTTCACATGCTTCAGTGGTAAATGCATGTCAGGCAGTACAGGAGCAGTGTTTTCTGAGGGAGACAATGAGCTTTCTCTGGCGTGACTCTTCAGACTGTTTACATGCACAGAAAAATATATAACACACTAACAACAAGCACAGGGAAATGTCCCCAATTGGCAATAGGCCCATGCCTTCCCAATCAGTACTATAATGAAATCAGTAAAAGCAAATTTAAATTCATTCTGCTGATAGTACTTTTTTGTTTTGAATTTTGAATGCAGGACTTTAACCTGGAGGAGTTTTTAATTATGGTAATGTGATCTGAACACTGTTGGACCGTAATAAGATGTTTTAAGCCATTTTTCTCACTTCTCGCTTTCTGCTTTTTTGCTCTTGTAAGGTATAATAGCTTCCAAAAATATTCATAACTCATAATTATTATAATTAATCATATTCACACAGCCTGTAATCCATCTCTGCCTCCTCTGTCCTTCAGGAGGTTAGCGAGTGTTGCTCGATCCAGGACGTTTCGGGAGCACCAGGGTAAAATCCTCCTGGAGGGCAGGCGTTTGATCTGCGATGCCCTGGATGCCGGTGCCAATCCACAGATGGTGTTTTTCAGTACAGTGGATCGGCTCAGAGAGCTGCCTGTAGCCAAGCTAAAAAGGGCCACGCTAGTCAAAGTCAAGTTCGAGGACATCAAGCTCTGGTCTGACGTTGTGGCTCCACAAGGAGTGATCGGTGAGGGTGACATCTTTTGTTTTGGTTCTTTATAAAGCACAGATCCTCTTGAGTTGTTACCGACTTCAACCTCTTTTTCTGCAGCCATATTTTCTCGCCCGGACCCGTCACGGTTGAACTTCGCAAATAGAGGTCATTCGGTGCCGTTGTCCCTGATATGCGATAACATCAGAGACCCTGGCAACCTTGGGACTATGCTGCGCTGTGCTGCTGCTGCTGGCTGCCATGATGTCCTGCTCACCAAGGGTAAGCTTATCATTTAAACTCCCTTGAACATAACTTTCCTTCTTTGCTTGTGGTTTTTCAAATCTTTATTTTTTTCCCCCACCGACAGGTTGTGTTGATGCTTGGGAGCCTAAAGTTCTGCGTGCAGCAATGGGCGCCCATTTCCGCCTTCCCATCTATCCCAGTTTGGACTGGAATGATATCGAAAATCATCTCCCTAAACCTGTGACCGTCCATGTGGCGGACAGCAGCTGCGGGGCTGACACAAGTAGAGAAACAAATGATTCCCAAGTTAATGTGTCTCACAAACCCGCCAAAGCAGGAGACTATGGGTGGGTCAGCACAAGACCTAATCACAAGAACATGCGCTACGAGGAATACATTTCCGATTCTGACTCTGACTCAGATAGTGAATTTGACGGCCTTTCACTTCCCAGAGTGGACACAAAGCTGTACCACGAGAGCTGGGCTCAGAGTCCCACTGCTCTAGTGATAGGTGGGGAGACACAGGGTCTGAGTCTAGAAGCAGTCGAGTTGGCTGAGAAAACGGCAGGTCGCAGACTCTTCATTCCCATCGTTCCTAACATGGACAGCTTGAATTCAGCCATGGCCGCCAGTATCCTTCTGTTTGAGGGCAGGAAGCAACTGTTAAAACTACAGCAGACATCTGGAAGGGAATGGGAAACTAAGACTAAGCAGCAGTTTTCATGATGTTAGCTCAGTATGTATCAGTATGTGAATTGTACTGTTTAAATTCCCATTCTACATGCTTTTCTGTTACACTGTTATACATAATAAAATACAGAATTTCAATCAGGGATTTGTGAAATGATTGTATGAGTTAATGTGCAGTGAATTCATGCCTTGTGTCCCTTTGTCACATGGTTCTCATTTTTAGGGTTGCATCTAAGAATGAATTAATTGGTGACTCTAAATTGCTCGTAGATGTAAGTGTGAGCGTGAATGGCTGATTGTCTCTTTGTGTGAGCCCACGTGATGAACTGGCAACCTGTCCAGGGCGTACCCCGCCTCTCACCCTGTGTCAGGTGGGATCAGCAACGATCCGCAACAATTCAAAGGATAAGTGGTTATAGATAATGTATGGATGGATCTAAGAATAACTTTCATTATAAATTAATCTGCCAAATCTTTTGATTAATAATTTAGTCTATAAAAGACTGTCCTCAGATTCAGGCCACCATGTTCACTGGCTAACACCAAGTGTGGTTCTCACTGAGCTTTTTATCTTTTGTTTTTGGTGGTTACACTAATAACCCCAGCACCAAGCGCTCTAGCTAAGCCTCACTCTTACAGTCTTTACCTACAGTTTAACACTGGCACAGTAATTTATTTCAATTTTTAATTTCAAATGTATTTGTATAATGCCGAATCATGACAAGTTATGTCAGGACACCTTTCATATAGAGCATGTTTTTTGTTTTATGGTCCAGTTACCTTTCAGCCAATCAGAATCCAGAACTGTCAGTGGCCATGAGATAAGAAAAACGAACACACAAAAGCTACAATAAATCTCACTTTATACAAATCTATATATAAATTAGACTATAACCTCCCTGTAACAAAAAGGCAGCTTTAAATAGATGACTGCACTTGAGGCATATTTATTTTAGAAAAGGACTAGATTCACTGTGACCATCCTTTGTATCTGCAGCCACATTACCTATGCAAATATGCATAACTAACTGCACTTCCATCCCACCTGGAGATTGCATGTGGACAAAAATGAGTCAATCTGCATACCGTCTCCCATAATAAATGTAACATTTGCACAGAGTTTCTTTGAGCCCAGGACTGTTAAATACTTCTAACAAAGGAACTGGTGAGTCATTGCATTGTGCGTATTTTACACATCCAAGAGCTGACTTTATTGATAGATCTTAAAAAGGAACAAAACTTTGTGCTTGCCAGTGAATTTTTAATGGGTGTGAGAAGTCATGACTGAAGTAACAATGCAGGGATTTATACATTCAACACTTTTCAAATGCCATTTTTGTGCCTTCAGAAATAACCTGGCCTTTTCATTAGGGGACCTTCACAGAAAGTCCTCGTAATGACTTTGAGATGAGAACCACCATTAACAACTGGCAAGAGATGACTTTCACTCACATCATAACACACACAACAAGACACAGGGGTTTTAAAACATCAGTCATTGGTCTGTTACAAGCAAGTATAATGTGATCTTTACTGTATGTGCACCGGTCATACTGGGGTTTTTTTTTTTTCTTTAAATAGGGCCATAAAGGCTTACGGCTACATCCAACTGAAGTTTTGCACATTTGCACTACATGTGAATTACAACTGTAAAAATGCATTTTTATTCTTTCTCAACATCATTCAGAAACCAAAAGTAACAAAGATCTTGCAGACAAAACACAAAGCAAAGAATGAGCTGAATAAGTAGGTCCATCAGGTAATTCTCTGGTTTTCTGGAGTTCAGAAAAGCTATCGAGTGAAAAACAAAATACAAACACTTTTCTTGAGGCCAAAGAAAAAAGAACCAACAGAATCTCCATATATATTACTGTAGGGACTATCATCAATGCAAGGCACCACAGGAGAAAGAGGACTCCATGAAAAGAGGAACATGTCTAAAAAAATTTTAAAATGTCAGTAAAAAGTGAGACATCTCTCTAACAGTCTGACAAAGTCAGGAGGGGGGAGGGTGGGAGAGATAGTGGGAGGCTGGGAAGGGTGAGAGGCGTAGCAACAGGTCAGGGTTTCGATGATGGAGTGAGTCCCATATAGTGTGTCCAATTTATATTTGGACTTCCTCTTTAGATGGGCTCCGGTTTGAGCTTTTCAGCCAGGAAGTCGCTGACAAATTGATCCACTACGGCCGGCGTGATCTCCTCTACGTCGCGAACATACTTGGCACGGGCCGACATGTCCAGGATAGTGAGCAGAGGTGCTGCCTCTGGGAGGTTCGTGTAGTCCCGCAGCGAGTCGGTCATGTCATCCTGAAAAAGAAAAAGAAAATACAGTGAATAGTGTGATATTACCTGATGTTACAGTGGTACATTCCTCACATGTATGGGTAGATTATTGCACCTTCCTACTGGGAACCAGTAGGCCCAATCCAGAGCCTCTGTTTCAAGTGACACGTCATTGTGGAAAGTTAAAAGGGGGTATGTCTATCACATTTCAAAGCAAATTAAAGAAATGTTTCACTACAATTGACTCCTATAATATTGTGTATATTTTCGTATAGTTTGATCCCAAAATAAATGTGAAAATGTGTTGTTTTTTCTACTTTCATTTCTAATTTGGGCTTTTTTTCCAAGTGCTGAATTCCTGCATAGCGTGAGATCTATGTTTACTGAAAAATAATTAAAACTTTGTTGAAAATGCACAATTGCAGTGCTGACCGTGTGCAGGACTTCAGTGTTTTTCCGTTTGCATGATCTCATTTTCTTACACACCTGATGCCGAGGAGTGCACTGTACAACACAAGTTTGGATTGTTTTCTTATAAATTAATGGACCGTTTGACCTCTCCAGGCCTCTGTAAATTATTCAAATAAAAACAGAGAAGGAAAAATCTATTTTTGGTTTTACTGGCAACAACCTGGTGACATATGAGAAAATGACGAGAGGTCCCAAGTAGACCTAGCTTTGTTTAAAAGGGTCAACAACCCATTTTCATCTACAGCATGAACAAACTATTGAACTTCAGGTCTAGTAATGTCCTGAAACCACCTAAAATGGTTGCAAATGTCACTGAAAAAAAGACAGTAGGACTGCAAGCGGCGCGGTTTTGCTCATTTGATAATCCGTCCATGTTCACATGCCATTTGAATGAACATGCAAGTCAAACACTGGATATGTTCCAAGAGAGAAAACACTCTAAATTACACATTGCTTTGCTGCTCCTCAGTTCAGACTTGCTTTTGGGGCAAGGAAACTAGGACAGCACCCATTACTTGAACTATGCTACGTTAAGATTACCCCGTAAAATTCAGAAGTGCCTGGCACAATCTTTATTAATTCACACTTCTTGAAAGAGAATATGAAACTCTCTCCCGTCTTCCTGCAGGCAGCCTGCCCAGAGAGCTGGTGCTTAGTCACACATCCTGCTGCGTGGAAAGACAGGAAGGAACCAGGTGGGGGTCCAACAACATCCCTCCTTTTTCCAAAAAACTCACTCACATCATATAAGTCTCATCACAGAGCATTTGAATAGCACACGTGGGCAGGAGAGCGAGCTGTGAAGGAATGTGTTACAAATAGACTGCTGCTGGGTTTGCTGGGGAATCCAGTTTTATTCCTTTGGAGTTATTTTGAAAAGGGCTTCATCCATGTTCTGCCCGAGGCTTGATGTCACCTTTCACCCTTCAACAAGTCAGGATTACAACTTCTGTAGCCACAGGTGACAGAAATGAATCACTGGCAAGCAGCAACTTTCAAACAAGTCTGAAAGGGCCATTAATTATTGAGACTGAATAAGAAATCACACCCTTTTCTAATTCAGCTTTAGCTCCAGCCGGGAGTGCTTCTGGAAATTGACATTCCTGCCTTGACAGGGATCCATTATTCTAGTCAAATCTTCTCTAAGTCAAATGGATTTCATGTGTTATGCTTGGTAAGGTCACACAGTTCACTTATTAGAGGTGTACAGCTACTATCATTCGAGACGTTCTTCTTTCCTCATGACAGCATGACCTGATTTCCCCTCTGCTTAGTTTGCTGGCTCACAGGGAGATTCAGAGATTAAAGATCAGTTTCATATGGAAAAGATTATGTTGAAAAAGCAGAACTAACAAGAAGGGGCCAGAGGGTGGCACTGCAACAAAGAGTTGGACTTCTCATAGAGGCAGTGCCTCTGATGTTAATACTGTTACTGATTTATGGGCCAATGTGAGTTTTGTCAAAACAGAGTCAAAGATAAAGTGACTTTGGATGGATTTCCTGTTACATATAACTCTAGCGTTCTCTCTTTTCAGGCCTATTTGTTGCGTCTTCCCTGTTATCAGAAAATCCACAGCTATTCTTACTAAATGGATCAAACCACACAATCAACTCTCAGGCTTCTCATTGAATAGCTTGGCTGTGCTGCTACCTAAAAAGGATAAGTATGCCAAGATGAAGTCTGTGACCTCTACTTTGCAAAACTGCTAACAGATGGAACAGATGAGTTGCAATGCGGTATTTTGTTGTAGGCAGCTAACTTCCTCTGAATGGAGCTCATTTTATTACGCTGCAAATCACCATACGTTGACCACTTAATACCCGCAGATGTAAGCTGTCACCAAAGACAATGTTGTTACGAGTGAAATACTGCTCGATTCCCCTGCTACAAATAAAAGCTTTGTCTTGCATGCTCTCTTGCAGCCCCACTAAGCGTAGATTATAGATCATCTAGGCACACAGTGTAAAGAAACCACAAAGAGAGAAATTCCACAATCTGTCACTATGTCCTTTCCAGCCTCTCCGATATGAGAAGATGTAATCTCTGCATCAGTCTTCGCCCCCGTAGGAAGTCATGCATCTTCTTTTGTTTGGCTTTCTATTCCTGTGTAAACTGCTTCTACTGAGGTGCAGCCATTTCAGAGCCCCCCTCCACCCCACCCCTCCGCCCTCTGCAGCTCAGCTCAGAACAAAAAAGACAAAGGGCCTCTCTGCTATAGCCCGCACTCACAGCTGTGATAAGGCTCAGTGTGTGTTTACCGTGTGGAACCTGCTGGGCCATGTCAGGCTTATTCTGATTATTGATGCACTGTGGCATTTCACAGACGATGACCATCTGATAAGGCCTGAGCCGAGAATGATAACAAACCCTCCCCGCTGGCCTCT